TCACTGGACCTCCTCTGACGGCCGACGAGACGAGAACATTAACTCCTGGTCTGGCTCCGATGTCACTGTTCTTTTATAGTTCAAAGTCCTGACTCACCTAATGCACTTAGAATGTATTGTCTATAATAATAAGATCAGCCCCTTAAAGTGAAGCTCCACTTCCAGCTTGTCTTCAATGTGTGAAGGATGATGGGTGAACCCTGATATTCACAAATGCTGGGCTTGAGCAGGGCAAGCCGCTAAGAGTTCCTTTAAAGAGGAAGACTTTTGCGTTAGTCATAGTTAAAGAGATATAACCAGAATGGTGACTTTTTTTAATCTTCGGTAAAGTGTTAGTCCCTCAGTCATGTCTGACTCCTTGTGACCTTGTGGATTATAGCCCTCCAGGCTCCTCTGCCCATCTCCTCTGGGACTCTCCAGGCAAGAATACAGGAGGGGATAGCCATTCCCTTTTTCAGGGGATCTTCCTGACCCAGGGATTGAACCAGGGTCTCCTGAATTGCAGGCTGATTCTTTACCATCTGAGCCACCAGGAAATCTTTGGGAAAAGTGAAAGTCACTCAGTCATGTCCTACTCTTTGCAACACCATGGATTATAGAGACCATGGAATTCTCCAGGCCAGAATACTGCAGTGGGTAGCCTTTCCCTTCTCCAGGGGATCTTCCCAACCCAGGGATCGAACCCAGGTCTCCTGCATTGCAGGTGGATTCTTTACCAGCTGAGCCACAAGGGAAGTCCAAGAATACTGGAGTGGGTAGCCTATCCCTTCTCCAGCAGGTCTTCCCGACCCAGGAATTGAACCAGGGTCTCCTGCATTGCAGGCAAATTCTTAAACAACTAAGCTTATCAGGGAAGCCATCTTCGAGAAAACAAGCATCTCGTTTTGATCTCGTATATTAAATGAAACACAACTAGACCATTTCCACAGCCAAAACCAGAGCAGCAGGCAACATACGGACTCTCCCCACTCCACTTCTTATCCACCTAGATCTGGGACGGTCCACCCTGAGCAAAAAGCATGTGATGCACTTGCCCTCACTGCCTCCAAGAAGCTGAAGGCACCTGTATGCTTCTAAGGAAAAGTCCTATCTTAAGACGGAAAAAACACAAACAAATCTACAGCGGGCTAGGTGGAGAGAATGGGTTAATCCACACCCCGCCCCATCCCTCCCGGAAGGCGCCCAAGGGCTGGCATGCACCACACGTAGACTCGTCCCAGATTTACAACAAGCCCGGTGTCAGCCAGACAGAACACGTCTGTGCCAGACCCTCAGCAGAAATACCAGTGTTTTCTGATCAATACACTTCCCACATGCTTTTTGTCCAAGAAAAAGCCAAAGCACCTTCATTTCAATAATTGTTCCAGACCTGTTTAACTGTTTTGATGTTGGCAACCTTCAAAGTTCCAGCTAAACTTAGAAACTCAACTAGGGATGAAAAAATGTGTTGGGTAAGTTACCAAATGATGCTTTAAAAAACAAACTCATTCTCTAAATTTGAGCCCCACTGGATATAGGACGGTGGTCCCCAACCAGGAGACAACTGCTGACTTCTGGAGACATTTCTGGTTGTCACTACTGTGGACTGGGGGTGGTCCTGGCTTCTGGGGGGCTGAGGCAGGGATGCTCTAACCACCATACACAGCCCAGCTATGCTCCCCACACCTGGATCCTGCAGGTGCCAACAGTGCTACAGCCAGAAGGAGGCATGTCTGTCAGGATGTGACCCAGACACATGGATGTCCACAGTCCTGAGATGGTCCATGGGGAGGCGAGTCATCCAAGCCCCCGATTCTGCACCTGGCCACAACCAGCAGAGTCAGCAGCACCTGGAACATGATGACCCCTGCCTGGTTTATGCTGTAAGTCCTTCCAAGCACAGGTGATAGACGAGGAAACGGGTCCAGAAGGTGAGCATATGGATCTCCCGTCACTCAGCTACAGACGTGGGCCCTCAACAGCTCCCCCTGGCCTGCAGGTCAGAGACGTGCGGGACTCAGAAGCTGAGTTTTTCAGCAGCAGCACGAATGTCCAGGTCACCTGGCACCGTGGACAGCGTGAACAGGCCTCACCTGCATCCTGGGACAGTCATGCTAGGCGGCGGGCACTGTCACAGGCAGCCCCATCAAGGACTGCTGCCCAAATGAACTCAGGCAAACCTGGGAGATTTTTGGATTTCAGAATTACAGGTGCAGTGTCCTCATACCTGCAGTGAGGGATGACTGAATTCAGGGGGATGGTACTGATACCATTCATGCCCAGGCCCTGGATCAAGGCCGAATGAGAACTCCCATCTCAAGTGGGCCCTGAGGGGAGGCTGACACCAAGGACTCCCTTCCACAGTGGTGGAAAGAACAGGCCCCATTCACCAGAATCGCTCTCCTTTTGGGGTGGGGGAGGGGTGTCATGACAAGCATGGCATCACCTCCAAAGAGGTCATTTCAGTTCAACCGCACACTCCTATTTCTATTTCTTTTTCCTTCCAGGATGTAAGACCCTCAAGTTCTGGTCATTCGTAGTGCCGACTTCGAAAGGTGGCACTCAGCTAGACACCGAGATGCCCATAAAGTGATTATTGTGAGAATCAAAGTCACCGGTGCAGCTCTGCCCGGGGTTCTCTCTGACTTCTTCCTGACCGAGGAACTGCAGAATGCCCTGCTCCTGTGAAGGGGGTCTGTTCAGACTCAGGAGGCCTTGTGGCCCTCCCAAGGGAGGGCAGGATACCAAGCTCCTGGGGGCCCACCATGCCCCCGCGCCCCCTCACCCCCACCCAGAGAGGTCATGAAGAGCTCGGCCCAATGGCGTCAGCAGGAGGACCCTGTTACTCATGAGGAACTCGGCTTCTTGGCTGTTGAGACTCCTCCAGAGAGACCCCACACATTCTTTAAAGGAAGCCCAGGTGTGTGGAGGCTTGGGACACCTGATGTGCCTCAATTCCTTCATTAAGCAAAGTGCAAAGTCTGGTGGGTGTACATCTGGATACACCAAAATTTCCCCGGAATACAGATGCAGCCGCAGAACATGGTGCCAATTAGAAACAAACACACAAAGAAAACCCTCAGCCTGAGAAGGGCGACTTCAAGTTGACCAGTTACAGTGTGGGTTCCAGGATCCACAGACACCCTCTCCTCACCATCCCACAGTCACACCAGACCCAGGTGCGGCCCCTGGCTGAAGGCAGGGCGTCACTGGCCCTCAGCATCCTGCAGACGCGGGATGTTGAGCAGCGACCCTGGCTCACGAGATGCCCCTCATCCTAGGAGGACCCAAAACCGTCTCCAAGGCAACAAAGCCTGAGGGTGAGACACACCCCCATCACTGCTTTGCTGTGCATGCCAGCTCCTGTCCCAGCCCCGCCAGTGACTGAGAAGTGACACAGAGGAAGTGTACCACCCACAACCCCTCAGGTTCTTCAATGAAGTCAGTTCTTCAACTGACTTCCCTCACCTCCCAGCAAGGCGGTCTTAAAGGTCCCAGGAGGGACAGAACTGCACCCCCACCACCACCCCCACAAAGAGGGGAAACAAGGAGGGCAGCTGGCCAGGCAATCAAAGGCTTCCTGGGGAACATGCTGGAACCAGAAGCTGGAGGACTGTTCATCTCCAGTGAGTTTGAAACAACATTACTACGCGTAACAGAAAAGCCAGATCTGAGGGGGCTGCACCCCTAGGACACCTTTAACCCAGGTATTTATGCATCAGGAACTCCTATCAGCCCAGGTTGCAGGGCACACACTCTAAGTTCTAAGGTACACAACCCCGCCCCAAGGCAAAATATAACAAAAGGGCAGTGGGAGGGAGCCGGAACAAAGGAACACTTTGGTAGGGCCCATAAGAGAACCATCCCTTTTAACCTGGCCAGATGCTGTCTCTTGGGATCACAGAAATGATGCAAAGTATAGAGCAGCTTCAAATATTAATCTAGGGCTTGCTGTGTTAGGAAAGCTGAAAAATGGGTGGGGATCTATATGTATTTTGGTGGCATAAGAACATGAGGTAAGTGATGAGACATCAGGTTGATGGAATTTTACAGACATAGAAAATTGTTACACATAGTGGCAGATAAAACATACAGTACACAAAATATATTTGCAATGATGCTAATAATGTAAATATTTCCTTCCAGTCTTTAACATATATAATACTAGGAGAAATCAGAATAAAATGCTAACAGTGATTTGGGAAGAATTAAGCAATTTTAAAAAACCATTCTCTAATTTTCATTTTTAGAAAGCTTTATTATATTTTATGAATTTAAAAACTAATGATGTTATTTTTTCTAATAGTTGTTGAAATAAACCATGTGGTCGAAGCTACACGGGTGCCTTCCTGACAAACACAACTTACTTCTAAGCTGCTACTACTGCTGCTGCTGCTAAGTCGCTCCAGCCGTGTCTGACTCTAGCGACCCCATGGACTACAGCCCACCAGGTTCCTCCGTCCATGGGATTTTCCAGGCAAGAGCACTGGAGTGGATTGCCATTGCCTTCTCTGACTTCTAAGCTTCCAGGACCTCAAAAGCAGGATAATCAACCATCCCTGCTGTTTGCTTTCAGGTGCTCCATTTTGAAGTTAAGGTATAAACAGACACTAGGGAGGTAGCCTGGGTTTTTCATTTATGATGAAAAGTTCAAAGAGGCTGCTTTCTCCCATTTACCTTAATGTTTATTCACATTCAGGCTGCATTTTCAGTGAATATATCTATAGGGATGGGAAGTACAAATAAATACGACCAGCTTGAGATCCTTAGTCTACTAAGTTGATGTCAAAATGGCATTTTGAGCCCTGTTTCATTTATTTATTAGGAGCCCTGCTCCCTAAGACAAATCTCACAGATGGGCATCTAGACCAGGGGGTGTGACCCCAGCGTCCCCAGGAGGCTCTCCTGGTACCTGGGCTCCCCTGCTGGTACCCTGTGTGCCCGTCACCCCTTGCCTGTGGTCGGCAGCCCCGGGCAGGCATGAGGCCCGCAGAGAAAGCGGGAAGAGACGTGACACTGACCTCATAGATGAAGTACACCTTGGCGCCCACATATATCCCCATGCGCACGACGGCCCGGACAGCAGCATTCATGCCTGCAGAGGAAGGCACAGTAGTTACTGATGAGGCCCTAGTTAACTAACCGTGACGGTGGGAAAACCATGCACCCTCTTGGAAGCCTCGTCCTGTGAACAGCAGTCCCGACGTGAAGCCCCCAGGACTAGTGCAGGGAGCGGGGGACAGGAGTACAGAGACTAGTGAGTCACAGGCTGGACCGCAGGAAGCATCACAACTGAGCCAGGAAGTTTGTTTAGAATTTCGCTGCAAACACACTCGGGACACACGTGACCTCAATCTGGTATGAATCTGCAGGTGATTCCATGCAATTGCAGAACAACAGAGAGGAGAGATGCTTTCTTATAGGTAGCCAAATTCAAAGAAAACGAGACTGAAGAGGCCCATTGGTCTGGGGAGGAGATAAAACACTGTCACCCACTGCCAATGTTAAAGAATAAAATTTTAATCACAAATTTAACACAAATCACACAATCCTATTAAAAGGAAAAAAAGTGAAGCCACTCAGTCATGTCCAACTCTTTGGTACCCCGTGGACTGTAGCTAACTAGGCTCCTCCATCCATGGGATTCTCCAGGCAAGAATACTGGAGTGGGTTGCCATTTCCTTCTCCAGGGAATCTTCCCGACCCAGGGATCAAACCCAGGTCTCCCACATTGCAAGCAGACGCTTTAACCAATGAACCAAAGCTCAAGTTAAACCATATACTATAAGTAATACCTAATCAAGATAAAATCTAGGCCGTTTTCCATATTTCCCCAGAACCTTAAAGGAAATTAAAAGTGTAAAGTATCCTTGTATAAAACTGCTACACCCCATTTGGATGGCATCATCAACTCAATGGACATGAGTTTGAGCAAACTACGGGAGATAGTGAAGGACAGGAAGTCTGGTGTGTTGCAGTCCATTGGGTCACAAACAGTCAGACATGACTTAGCAACTGAACAACAAAACCACATTCTATTTTCCACTGAAGCCCCGTTTCTGGGCAGCCATCTGTGAAATGGACCATAATCTAGACCTACATGAACAGGACAGGATTTTGTGTCTCCTCACTCCAGGTGATGAGTGAAGCCATCAGGAGGATAGTGAGAAGGGAGGACCATTCCTCTCTGAAAGGAGGGAGCCCTGAATCTCGGAAAACTCATAGCCCCTGGGCCCCCAAAGGTCTCAATCTATATCCTTCGTAAATTTAAATTTCAGGGACAAACATCCAGACTAAAGGTGTTGGAGAAGGTGGACCATAAAGTAAGTGGTGCTATAGGTAAACAAAGCAACAAATGAAGGCACCTGGGGTCCCAGGAATACACTCTACAGACAAGGAGACTAAGTTTGTATATATTTGGAGAGTAAACTGGCTCAGAAGATGATTACAAACTTTCAAATTTCTTTGAACCAAGTCTGGAAATGTGGGTTAAGACTGTTGCCTCTGAAAGGTGACAATTTTGAAAGGTTACCAGGTTTGTGGAGCTGAAAAAGCTGGAAATAAATCCATGTTAAACAAATAAATGCATGTTAAACAAATAAATCCACATTAAATAAATAAATGCATGCTAAACGTGGCTGTCCCACTGCTCCCAGATGGGCGCTCACACCCGCCCATCTCACCACAGCCTTGGGCCTCGACCCCACGGACAAACGCGCCTCCTTGTGCCCTCCCCACAGACCCTGTGATTCCAGAACTTCATTCTGTGGCCCTGGAATCGAGAGCCTGACCGCCAAACACTGGGGCCCCACCAGCCCTTCATTACCAGGATGCCAGCACGAATGACACGGACTCCTGCCCGCCCCCCACTGCTGTCACTTCTGAAGACTTCTTGATGCTGGTGGTGGGTGTTCTAAAGGCAGGAATGAAGAGGACATAGGAGATTTTAAAACATGCAAGTGGGGAAGACAGGGCAGCAGGAATGGCAAGTAGCAGACTGTCAGAGGTGACTCTAGGGGACCCCCATGTGAAATAACAAGCTGTGGTGACCCCCACCCGAGAGGCCTGACCACCTTCATGCTAGCCCCACGGCCTGAGTTCCTCCCCTGCCCCGTGGGGCTGACCCAGACTCACCTGGGAACCCAACCTGTCCCCTCGGGGCTGGTCCCCTCAGCCTGCAGCAGGCCCCGTGAGGCAGGGTCTGGGAGGGTCCTAAGCACCCATTTCTAGCAAGATCCTGGGAGAGGAAGTCCTGGCATCTGAGAGGCATCAGAGAGCCCAGGCCCCAGGGCTTTTATTCGAGGGCAGTTAGAGTAATCTGCTGCAAGGCAGGCTTTTCCCAGCAGCCCCGGTGGCCCCTTCTGACTGGGCCCTGAGCGGAGCCATCCTGCTTGGGGCTCAGTGATGACCAGGGCTGAGTGCTCTGCACACCTGGGCGGATGTGCCCACAAAGCCCTGGGGACCTGGTCCTCCTGGGAGCCCAGAGTCAGCCCGAGTGAATAAATTAATAGCTGAGGGAACAAAACGAGTAAAAGGCAAAGCTGGCGTGTAAGCCCGACTCTTCCCCTTATTGTAACTTAAAAACCATTATACTAATAACTGCCTCGAGAAGGAAGGAAACTTAGAGGGAAAAACGCCCAGTGGGCCCAGTTTCTTGTGTAAATGTTTGTGGAGAGGCCGCCTGTCCGCTTGAACTTGGGGCCCACAGGGCAGAGCTGCTGCCTGGCACTGGCCCCGCAGGTGGGTGCCTTCCAGAAAGTGCCCAGAGGACAGAAACAGAGGGCAACAGGAAAGGCCAGTTTCCACCGGCCGTCTCTGTGACACACGAGTGGGGTCCAGGCTGCGTTTGGTGTCTGAGGTCTCCTGGGTGAGCAGCCCCAGGTTCCAGGGCACTCCAACAGCTGTTTTTAGTAAACCTTCAGACACAGTCAGTTTCCTTCCTTTTCCTTTTGGTTTTGTTTTGGCAGCCAGGCCCCATAATTCAAACAACCTCCGTAACTGTTTCCATGGGAACCATCATCCTGCTACCAAGAAAGTGCCTTAGTCTTTGGAGAGTAACCTCTTGTCTCTCACAAAAATTAGAACCCTGGTCCTCAGGGAATGACCAGACTTGTTACGGGAACCAAAAATAAACCTTGAAAAACCCAGGGAGCAGCTAAGAGGGAAATGTGAGCAAATTAGGTGTGACAGAAAGAAGGGACTGTTAGACTGTCTTCCTGCCGTGACGTATCCTCAAGTAGCTTCTTACTAAAAGCATGATGCATGTAAGACAGTCATTAAGATAACTTCTTCCTTCTGACTGGGGAGGCCAGCAACCTCTAAGAGAGGCTTCTAAGATTCTGTTCTGATAAAATTTAAACTTCGAGTAATTTGTAAGAAACGAGGATTGTGTTGCTTCTAATAAAACAATTGGGGCTGTTTTATTTTCCCATGGTCTGAAAAGCCTAATAAACATCCTTGCTTAGCCCTTCTGGACCATGTTGAGCTGCTTCTCCTGCATATTTCTCAGGGCCCACAACAACTCCCTGACTAATTCCAACATTTAAATTCTGTTTTGAAAAATAAGATCCAGTGCTTAATCTTATTGGCTTCTCCCTGATACCATGGGGTTTTCACCTTTGTACCAAAGGGAGGACGTCAGCACAAGTCAGAAAACAAACTTAAAACACAGTTTATCTTGCTCTTACTACTGCAGCTCTCCACAAAGCTTCCCTGTTTTAGTGATTCAGGTGTGGGAAGGACAAACAGTCCACAGGAGAAGGTGTCCCTGTGACCAATTACCAACCTCACCTTCTGAGCACCCTGCCGTGTCCAATCACCGAGCCCTGTGTCAGACACCAGTGAGACAAATCCCTGAGGGGTGTCGACTGTCTGTCCATCCAGGACACATGGATGGGCGTGTTCTCTCTGCTGGCACTGCTGGGCAATCCACTGACACAATCGTGGACCTGGTAGCCTAGTGGGCTTCCCCCGTGGCTCAGCAGTAAAGAATCCACTACAATGCAGGAGCTGCAGGAGACACCGGTGTGATCCCTGGGTCAGGAAGATCCCCTGGCGGAGGGCATGGCAACCCACTTGACTGGAGAATCCCATGGACAAAGGAACCTGGCGGGCTACAGTCCATGGAGTCACAAAGAGTCAGACATGACTGAAGTGAGGACCTGGGTTCAATCCCAGGTTGAACTGAGATCCCGCAAGCCACGTGGCAAGGCACCAAAAAAAAAAAAAAAAGAGTGCATTTGATTAATGAAGGCTTAATTAATCAAAATGACTTCATGAGAAAAGACAGCCAGAAGACAGACAGATTAGTCACCTCCATCTTGCAAAAGGAAGGAGTCCATTCTAGGTGAGGTTCCAGGAGGGAGATTCGGCAAACATCTGGGTACCTGCCAGGTGCCCCCAGTACTGCCCTGGGCACCAGAAACACCCTGGTGAATGGACACACATCCTGGGCCACCGCTTCCCACTGTAGCCACGTGGCCCATCCAGCTCATCTCAGAGCTCACTCACTCATGTGTGAAACATGTTAGTTACTGCATGGAAGCATTGGTGGCTACTGCTAAGCAAATGATCACTAAATATTACTCTTCCTTTTTTTTAATTGGAGTAGAGTTGATTTACAGTATTTTGTTTCAGGGGCACAGCAAAGTGATTCAGTTACACATATACATATATCCACTCCTTTTCAGACTCTTTCCTTATAGATTATTACAGAATATTGAGTAAAGTTCCCTGTGCTATAAAGCAGGTTCTTGTTGATCATCTATTTTATATATAGTAGTGTGTGTATGTTAATCCCAAACTCCTAATTTATTACCCACCCCCCTCGTTTCCCCTTTGGGCACCATAAATTTGTTTTTGAAATCTGTGGGTCTGTTTCTGTTTTGTAAATAAGCTCATTTGTGTATTTTTTAAAAAATTAGATTCCACATGAGTAATATTGTGTATTTGTCTTTCTCTGTCTGATTTGTTCAGTCACAAAGCCGTGCTTAGCATGATAATCTCTGGGTCCATCTGTTGCGCTGCAAGTGGCATTATTTCGTTCTTTTTTTTATGGCTAACCCTTCCTATTAGTAGAAAGGCTTATACAGACTCCATCTACATATGCTGTTGTTCAGTCGCTAATCCTTTCCAACTCTTTTCCACCCCATGGACTGCAGCACACAGGCTTCCCTGTCCTTCACTGTCTCAGAGTTTGCTCACACTCATGTCCATTGAGTCGGTGATGCCATCCAACCATCTCATCTTGCTGCTCTCTTCTCCTCCTGCCCTCAATCTTTCCCAGCATCAGGGTCTTTTCCAATGAATCAGCTCTTTGCATCAGGTGGTCAAAGTACTGGAGCTTCAGCTTCAGCATCAGTCCTTCCAATAAATATTCAGGGTTGATTTCCATCAGCTTTCTGTAAACACTAGCTTACTTTGCTATAGGTCAAAAAGGACTCAGTTTTTCTGTTCAGTCTACTCTGTAGGTCCATTTCTCTGCACTTTCATCTGTACCGGGCCCTCCAGAAACCCTCAATTTGAGTCTAAGGCAAGGAGTCATTTCTTGCTTCGGGGGTGGGTACCTTGTTATGGTAAGTCTGTGCACGGACCTGAACCTTATTGTAGGTTAAAGTGAAAATCAGCTGAAATTTGCAGACATTCCTTGTGACAATGGAAGCAACCCAAAGAATGAAAATAATAATTAGCCTTAGAAATAGTCTTCCTCTGTGGCCAGGGCTGGGGGAGTCAGGAATATAGCTGGAGGATTTTCGTTTTGTTCAACAATCATATAATATAAATTCCATTGGAAATAAGTGCTTCATCACTTTAGTCTCAGGTGTGACATCAATGTAGCCACCCTGATGCTCTCATTGTACAAATGCATTTTATTTTCTACTTGCAAAGCTACTTAAAAATCATCTGTATAATCTATGTAATATCTTTCTCTTTTGACTGGTAAGTAGGGCAGTTTGTCTCATGTTTAAGTTATCTATCTGAAATTTTAGGTTATTTCCTTTAGATGATTACAGTTTACTTCATTAATTTCATAAGGAAATCATTAAGACATTTTATACCAATTAAGTAGTTTATATATTTTTAGTAAGAGAAACTTCACAGTGATCCTGTCTTCCAATGTACTTTGTTAAAGCACAGTCTTAAACTCCATTTGAGTCTTTTAAAAGTTTTAAGTTCTTTTGTTTCTAATTTGAGGGAAAATTTTTTAAAAACACTTCTTTCTAATTTGAGGGAAAATGTTTTTACTTGTGGCAAATTAATTACTTCTTCATAGTCTGCAAAACACAAAGAAAAATGCCACTTGCCTTACTAATGAAAAGTTTGGTGTCATGAAAAAAAAATCACCTGTATAATTTTGAGCAAACTTGGCTCTGAGTATTAATTAGATGTTACAGCCTTAAGAGCAGGGCTTACTGGAAAACATTTGGGATTGAGACTGAACTTGGTTTAAATCCTGCCAAGGGCCACCTAAGAGCCTGTCACCTTAACAAGGTTACTCCTTTCCCCACCTCCAAAACCAAGACAGTAATCAGGCCTGGAGACGAAAACCACAAAGCTCCTAGGACATGAACTGTGCACAGGAACTAGCAGCTATAGCCTTCTCCACGTGGAATTTTATCTTTGTTTCACATCTGAGTAGAAAACTATGCTGAAATTAAGACTTGTGGTTATTCACCTTTGTCTTTAGCTGTGAGCAAACCTCTCTTATCTGAGGGAAAATCAAGCATGGGTATCATACAGTCAAGACAAAATGGCAGAGCACGGGGAAGCAACATCATCTCTAGGAATCACCTCCGCAAGGAGCTTAAGTCTGCTGCTGCGGAGACTGACCCCTGGTGCACATAGCGAGGCGAGCTTTCTCAGAAAGAAACGCATGCCCCTGTTCAGTCAGGTCGCAGATAGGATCGAACAGGAAGTGGCACTTGGCATGAAGTCCAAGAAGAAACAGACAACAGTCTCAGCTCTGCCCCAAGGAAGATGCCCAAACACCGGGCCACCGGGAGGCTCTCCAGCAGGGACCACCCAGAGGACCCGTTCCAGGCATCAGGACAACTCCCATCAACCTGACCATACACCGACCAAGCCATCTGACATTATCATATAATTTTGATTCTCAAAGTATCCTTTTCCACTGAGAAGAAGAGGTATGGACTTACTGACCTCTATTATTCACAACTGCTCACAGGTGACAGAGATAAGTAGCAGGTAAGTAGCAGAGAAAATGCTGATTCTGTCTATTGCATCATCACCACAATTGCCTTTACACCAGCTACCCGGTAGCTGAGCAAATTTATGGAAAAGGACTCAAGTGAATGACCTACATTTTTTTTTTTGAACAGACACAGCACCTTAATTCTAAATGACTTTGCAACTCTGACCTTGAAAGCTGGAGGATTAAGAGACCAGTTCCTTTTTCTGTGCCAGCATTTTAATCTTTTTCCAAGCCCACAGTAAGAGTCACTCAATATAATTCCTAACTTGGGTAGCCTACGTCTGGGGACGCAGGTGCTTTTTGAAGCCCGTTGATCGGGAAGCCCCTCTTAGCCCAGCAGCAACCCGGCCGGGACCCCATCCAGCACATCAGGTAAGTAACGTGGGCTATGTCATCAATTTCACTCTGCCATTTCCCCCGAAGATACAGTCTTCGCTGTATCACGTTTTCTGTCTTCACTGGGGCCAGTTTACTAGAATACCAAATTAGACCAGCCTGCTTGGGCTCAGCCGGCTTGTGGGGCGGGGGCGGTGACAGATGCAGCGCGCACCACCTTCAACAGGACAGGGAGGGGCTCTCCAGGGACCCAGGGTCCCCTGGCCTCCTGCCGGCCACGCGCGGGGTGTCCGGGGTCCGGGGCGCAAGGGCTGCGACGGGCCGGGCATCACGTACGCGAGGGGCAGGCGGGGCTGCGGCCACAGCTCCCCACCTGCAGCCCCCCCCCCCGCCCGCCCCTCTCAAGGACGATGGGAAGGTCACCAGCAGCGTGCGCGGAGGTGAGGGCGCAGGCCAGCCGCTTAAGCATCCCTGCACCGCGTGTGGTGAGATGAGGTGAGAAAGAGGCATGGGGCCTTTCAGCTCATCAGGATAGGAGGAAGGGGGTAAAAGAAACGCCAGACGCTGGCGCGGGAGGCGTCTCTGGCCTGCGGTCCTCCAGGTTCCGAGCGCATGGGCAGCGCCCCGCTTTCTAGCGGTTGGCTCGCCCCACCCGGGAATCTACGAGGATCAGGAATCCCCAGGCCCCCACGTGCGCCCGGTAGGGGCGCGGCCGTGTCATCCCCGCTTCGGCTGTCCGCTGGCCCCAACCTTGGGGCCCCATTTCCCCCAAGACCAGCTTCCAGGCTCGCGGGTGGAGGGCGGCGCCCAAGTCCGCGCTCCCGGCGCTGGCGACACCACGGAGTCCCCGCTTCCTGGTCCTTCCCATCCAGGGGAGGCTGGCGGGGAGGGCCTAGTGACCCGCTTCGGTTTTCGGTTTGGTGACGAGCCGGAAGGAGACAGGAGATGAGGACGGCGGAAAACCGTTTTTAAAATCTCCCAGCGGAAATGCGAGGCGGTGCCGGGCGGCCCGGCTACCCGGGCGGGGACCCTGTGCGTTCGCCGCCGCACGCCGCGGGACAGCAGCGGGGACCCCGCCCGCGCCGCGCGGGGGTAGCGGGGCTGCAGACCCGTCGCGGGGACGCAGCGGTCTTCCCCGCGACCCCAGGTGTGGGGAGTCGGGGACGGAGCCGGGGCGGCAGTAGAGGCATCGGAAGTGGCCGCGCTGTAGCCAAGCCTTGGAGGGGCGTCCGGCTTCATCCCGCCTCGCGGAAGCGGAGGGACCTCCGAACGAGGTCCAGGCGACCCCATCGCCAGTTGTAATTTAGGAAATAAACGTGGAGATGGAAAACTGACCTTCCGGGTAAGGGACACCTGCTCCCTCCGTGCCCTCCGCGCGGGTCCCGCAGTGACTCCTTCCGAGGCCGCACCGGCTCCCGCCCCGGGAATGCACCTCCGAGGTTCCCAGGCGCCGGGCTTCTTCCCACCGTCACTTACCCCTGGTACCCCTCTCCTTACTCTTCTCGGGCCCCCCATCCCTTCTTCCTGGCACCTCATCCTTTCTCTGGGGTCCCTTCTCCCCGGCACTCCCATCCTTTCTCTCCGGCACCCCCACATCCCTTCTCATTGGTCCCCTCCCTGCGCCCCCCGCCCGGGACCGGGGACCCGGGGACCCGGTGACGCACCTTGGGCATCCCCGCCGCTGGTCAGCACGCCGATGGCCTTGCCAGCTCCGGAGAGTTGCTCCAGGAACTTTCGGAGGGAGCCCTTGGGGGTCGGGGGGCTGTCGTGGCCGTCCATCGTGAACAGGCCGGAGACCGCGCTCTGGAGGGCGCTCGGTAGGCACTGCACCCCGCCCGCGCCGCCGCCACGGGAACCGCCGGCCACGCCCGCGCGGCGCGCGCCAATGGGCGGCCTGGGGCGGGCGCGGGGACGCGGGGGCGGTGGCGCGGGCGGGGCTGGGGGCGCCTGATTGAGGGGAGCTCCAGGGGCTGCGGAGCCTGGTGGGCAGGAAGGACCCCTCCGGGGCTAGCCACATGGTTCGGGGGCGCGGTATGCATCGCAGATGGCAGGAGCTTTACGAGCCGGAAGCGCCTTGGAGGGAGGGGACACCCAGCAGGTGGGAGGGGACACCCGGCAGGTGGGAGGGGACAGCCCGGAGGTGGGAGGGGACAGCCCCGCAGGTGGGCGGAGCATCCCTGGTAGGCCGCGGGGAGGGCACCGCCGGAGAGTTGGCCGCGGATGGGCGGATGGGGAGCGGGTGTCCCGGCAACGGGAGGGTGCGGGGGCAAGGCGGAACTATAGGTGGGCGGGGTCACCGTGGTCGCGGGAACGCGGCAGGTGGGCGAGAGCATCCCGCTAGGAGAGCCCAGGAGGCCGGGTGGAGGTGCGGGGCGACACACGTGGGCCGCCGGGTCACTGGCGGTTGGGGGATCCGAACCGTCGCCGAGGCGCGCGCCCGTTCCCGCGGGGACTTCGTTCGGAGGTCCCTCCGGGTTCCTGCCGGGTGGCTCTCGGGGCCCGGGCGCCCCAACCTTTCCTCCGGCCTGCGAATCGTCGAGTCGGTGGGCGTCGCCTGCGGGCGAGGACGAAGCGCCGGCTTCGTCTCCACCCACCGGGGCTTTGGCAGCACGACGAGGAGGCGGACTGGGTCGTGGAGGACACGCGGGGACTCTGGCGACCGCTGGCGCCGGGCTGGGCTCTGGAAGGGAAGGGGCGGGGGAAGGGCAGGAAGGTCCTGGCGAGGCGATAAGACCCTAGAAGCCGCGGTGTCCGGGGTCGCCGGCCGAGGCGCTAGTGTCTGGTCCGCTGGGTGATGGATGAACAGGGAGCTTGGTCCCGGTCGGTTCCTGCCGCGGGTGCAGATGGATGCGCAGTCTTTCGGAGCGCACAGCGCTGAGCTTGGGGTACGGTCACCCCCAGAAAAAAGAGTTCCATAAGCGGCTGCATCATCAGTCCCTTGTGGGGACAGCACAGTATCCCCTTACTACTTGAGCAGCAAATGTGCGTCGAGTGGACACAGGGAAAAGAGGTTAAGTCAAGGCCGTCCCGTCCACCCATAGCAGCCTGACAGTGGTTTACTCCTGGCTGCCCTGGACAGAACGGTGTGTGCGCGCACTTCTATCTGGCACTTGCCTTATCCTCCTGCCCTTTCTCTGAGCATCACAATTGTTTTGCAGAAAAGATACAAATACCTGCCATGGACAAGGCCAGAGGTCTGATATCTACCCTGGAGTAGAAGTGATGGAGCAACTTCTAAACCCACCAACCACCCCACCCCGCCCCCCACCCCACCCCACCGTGGTCATTTGAATCACCTGGCCTGGTTTTTCCCGCTCCACCAGAATCGCAGAAGCCCTGTTTCTGGGAATGCTGCCTGGAAAGACGTATTTTCAACAAGTTGCAGCACATTCTGATGATTGCAGAGTCTGAGCGCACCTGCTCCACAGAGTGAAACTGAGCAGCGATGCTGAGAAGATACTGGGCATCGGGAGGCTGCCCTTCACTGTCCTGGCCGGGAGAGTGGAGCCAGGTTCCCATTTCTCCAGCCAGAGGTGTCCCCAGTTCAGGATTTGGCCTCCAGAATCATCCATCCCTTTCTGCAGCATTCTGCACTTTGAATTTTAGCCCCAAAGTCTTTATCTTCTTATAAAATTGGCATTTTTGTAATTTAGAGGATTGGCCATTTGTCATCGAGTGTCTGTAATATATTGAGTTGGCCAGTTTGTAAGATGGTATGGAAAAACCTGAATGAACTTTTTGGCCAACCTAATAAAAAATAATAGGTACAAACTAAGAGTCCAAACAATGGGTTAGGTACATTTTGATGCAAATATACACGTGGCCTTCTATTGCTGGTATGATTATGAAGACAAACCTCCATTTACATGGAAGTGTATTTAGGATATGTTAATAAATGAAGGAGAGTCAGAAATACCACTAAACTGTGTGAATGTGTGCACACACATGCATATGTAAATTTAGATATTTTCCTTTCTTCTGCTTATTATGGGACTTCCCACACTGTGCAGAACCCCTCTGCCAATGCAGGAGACATAAGAGACTCTAGTTCCATCCCTGGGTTGGGAAGATGGCACCCTCTCCAGTATTTTTGCCTGAAGAATCCCACAGACAGGAGTCTGGTGGGCTACAGTCCACAGGGTTGCAAAGAATCAAACACGACTGAAGCGACCTAGCATGCACAGAGTCTGTGGAAAGATACAGCCATCTTTCCCTTCTTTTTCTTTTGCAGTGTGTTTATTTTAGTATTTCTTCAGCTGGTGGTGGGTTTTTTCTTGTTTGTTTGGCCTTAGAAGAGGTTTCTCTGATACAAGAGGGAGAATCACATGCCATGTTGAGGTCACAGCTTACCTCCAGTGTGTTGGTTCTCCACTGCTTACCCCGAGCAGAATTACCCCGAGCTTCTGTGGCTTATATGACCACTTATATCACAGGTTTACCATCCCAGAAAGGGCATGCAGGTGGGTTTTGCTGGGCCCTCTGCTCGGGGTCTCAAAGGCTGCAGAGGTGTCGCCGGGGTCCCGATTCTCCTCTGATCCCTCATCTTAGCAACTCCCTTCTGTCCCAGCCCCTGAGCCAATTTCAAGCTAATCTACAACCACAGCTCCACCATCATCTGCCGTTTTCCTAGTGCCTCATCTTCTCGCCCTTTCTTCCCTAGACTTGGGAAAGTCCAAGATTAAATGAACCGGCCTGCTAAACAAGGAAATGCTGCCTTCAGCCCCTGTCCCTCCCCCACCCTACAGTTGTTTTTCAGTGTCCTTGTCCAAACTTAAAAATAATTCTGCTTTATGTCCGGCAGATAAACTTTAAATTATATATGAAACAGTTGGATGCTTTCCAAGACCTTGACGCAGAACCATGTTGTCCTGGACCAATTAGAGTCAATATCCAGACACTGGGGGAAAAAAAATGGAATGAAAGCCAGACTCATTATTTCTGCAGAGTATGTGGCCATTAAGAGTTTAACCCCTCCGGGAAATGTCACTGGTGATGTGAACCGGCCCCTCTCAGAGAACAACTATTTCCTTCTCCGTGCGATGTTGAAAGCTGGTTCACAGCAACTTCCTCATACTTCCAACACTTTTCCTGCAAAAGGAGAGCACAGGTGCTGATAAGATGGAATAAACTGATCTTCGTAATTGCTGAGTTACTTCAGGAAACGGAGGAAAGGAGAGATGGATGGTTCTTTTGAAAAATGAGTTACATAGGGATTTCCCAGTTAGGAAAGGAAATTATGATTCTGGCAGTGTTGCCATGTGATGGTTAATTTTATGTGTTAACTTGGCCGGATCATCGGTGCCCAGATAGTTGGCAAAACATTGTGTCTGGATGTGACTGTGAAGTCTTTCCAATGAGATTAACATTTGAATCTTTCCAGTGAGATTAACATTTGAATCAGTGAACTGAGCGAAGCATCCCTTCTCCATGTGGGGGTGGGGGGGCCTCAGCCAGCCCATGAGGGTCTGAGTAAAGGTGAGCTTGTGGTCTTTCTCTCTCCCTAGATGTTATCAGATGTATCAATATACATGTCCCGCTGGTTCTGCTTCACTGGAGAATCCTGGCAAGTCAGCTTAAATACATTCGTTCTGTATTTTAGTTATGAAATGCTGTTGTCCACACACAGGCCTGTGTCCCCAGCGGCATTTTACATGTTCAAGTTTGTAATAACGGATCTTAAAGCGCCCTTCCTCCCACATCAGAACTGAAGCGGTTCATGGCCAGCAGTCAAGGGCAAACATGCCGAAAAACCCAAAACCACAGCTCTGAACTATAGTGCTTTTTCAGGTTGCAGACGGGCCCACATGGACCATACGTGTGTGAGTAGTAGTGCTGGCTTGTAGCAGGGGTTTTGGGGTTTTTTGGCAAATAAAACGTCTAAGATTCCCATATAAACTACACACCTCTTTCTCCACCCAGACATACACACCTATGCACACAACCCCTGTATGTTGCATACAGTTGAGGGAACTCCCGAGCCTGGTGACTCGGGTGGACAGAGGGCAGAGGATGGAGGCTGGCCCCAGGTCCCAGGAGCAGAAAGTTGAGTCCTGAGCGGCCTCCCTCTGGCTGCTCCCTGTTCAGCCTTGGGACCCCATCTGATCTCAAAGCCTAAGCCAAACCCAGGCCAGGTGGGGTCTGAGAGTCAGTTCCTGGGGTCTCAGTCCTGCATCTGGGGGAGTCTCCCTGCACCCCCCACCCTGCGATGCTGTTTAGAAAGCATCATTCAGAGCACCAGCTCTCCTTCCACTGATGATGTAGTCCTGTGATCCTGCCTGGGGCAGACTATTCTTGAGTCTATAAAATATTTTTACCAGAATGAGCCATCCATTTTGGGCCATATTTCGGCAAATGAGGCACCTCTGCAGCAGACAGGGCTGATCATTTCTCACCTGACTTGTTCTGCATCCCTTCTGCCCTGCGGTCCGCTTCTCTGTTCCTTCCTCCGCTCCAGGGCCTGGTGGGGAGCTTGTCACCGGAGCTGTGCTCCAGGTCGTGGAGGAAGCTTGCCCCTTCCCTCTGTCCAGGTCACCGGGGGGCAGAGAACAGAGCCCAGCCCTCAAGACTCCCCCACTCCAGCCTTCAACCCTGGAGCCCATTGGAAGGACCGTTTCTGGGGTCATTGAGTCATCAGGGGCAGAGTTTGCACTGTGAAGACAAAGGAAGCTTAGAGATGCGGGCAGAGAGACAGACACACACACAGGAGAGACTTATACAGAAAGGCAGAGACAGAAAGCAAAAACACAACATTCCTTATATTTG